ATCAGCTGGTTGAAAACTTTAACACTCAATAAATTCAGGTCAGCATCATTAAGAAAAGACATGTTGGTGTTGAGGGACGATGGGAGGGGAGAGGAAAATAAGAGTTGAGAAAGGGGTGAGACACAGAAAGGAGAATAGATCATTGTTGTTTTTGTTTACTTTTATAATGAAACAAATGCATTTCATTTGCATTTTAAATTCATGATTTGTTGTGTCCTTTATAAATATAGATTTTACATCAATTCATGACGCATTTATGTAAATTTTGGTCTCAGGGAGACACCAGATTTCTCTTTTAGTTCTTGAGCTGAAAATGTTTGTGAACCATTGCTGACCTGACATTAAGAGATCCTACTTAATGTGCTTTCCTAATCTACGATAGTTGTTCTATGCAAAAATACACTCAAAAGTTTATCTAAAGTTTTTATGAGGCACCAGCAGTCTGGGTTAGTCAAATTTAGATAATATATTTCAAAGTTACGGTCTGGACTATTGTAGACTCCAGGTGTTAACAGGTGTAAACTGTCTCCTGTCTTCTCTCTAGTCGTCCCACCACTAGCTTCACTTGGTTCGTCAACCCGATGAAGACCTTCATCTTTATCATCTGGAAGAAGTTCAAGAAGTATATCATCGCTCTGGTCATCCTCGCCATCCTCACACTCTTCCTCTGCCTCATTATCTACACTCTGCCGCAGCAAATCTCTGCCATCATTATCAAAGGATGAAGAAACCTGCGGGGAGTCTTCGTCGCCTCCTCCTGGGTGTCACAGACTGTCTTACGTTTCTGATCTAGTTTACAACGGACTGAAGTCTTATTTAACCTGATTTTGATGGAACCAATCAGTAAAACTCATGATTTAATATATTTACACTGACTGCACTACATTACCCAGCATACCTGTTTATATAAACATAGCCTGGCTCATTGGAGCTATAATGTGGGATCTGTTTTACTGTGGGATTCATCCGTCATCAGAGGAAATGACTGGACACCCATTACTGCAGATTTGCATCATATATTATGTTGTGTAAATTAAAGATTGTTTTGACTCTGCAACTCGTAGCACAGGTCAGATGTGTTCTGGACATACAGCACAAAACTGAATGGATAAATCAGCACCTTTCCTAAACGTAAACATAACTCTATTGTATACATGTAATATTGTTGATTAAATATAATTATAGTCACACATTTTTATTTTGAAAGTAAATAAGAAAATAAAATAGATAAGTACAGTTTTGACTCATAACTGCAGTTGTTTTTCTCTTTTGTACTCATTTGTTTAATCCTTTTTTAACTGAATGACGAATCTCAATTTTAGCTGTTCTGAGTAAATCAATAAATAAACGACTAATATAAATGACTAATGATTAATATTAATATCAGTCAGAAACAGTGATTCTCTTTGTCTGTCTACAGGAAATGAACTGTAAAACAATACATTCAATTAGGCCTACTTTAGATATCTATTTGAAAAACTGTATAAATCCCGCAGCATTAAGCTAAAATTGTCTCAGTACTCCTTTGTCACAGTACACAATCTGGGAATCTTATCTCGGTGGATGTAATCCCCATCCTTGCTGTTGCAGAACGGAGTGGCTTGCACTGTACTGTAGTTTATTCAGTGTTTATTTATTCTGAATGTGTCGACTGTCCAAATTGCACCAAATGTGACACTGCACTCCCTTGGGTCCGCAGCAACACACCCGCCACGTGTGAGGTCAGTTGGATGAGGGGTTCTTGACATAATTGAAATACAAACACACATTCCTGTCTTTATTAGAGAGATATTCATTTGCAACATTTGGGATGAAATAAACTTTTGTAAATGGATTTGATGCCTTAATGCCAAAATGCATTTTAATGACTTGTGAATGGATTCCAAGTCATTAAAACGTCAAGCTAGAGTCCAAGTCAAGTCTCAAGTCTCTGAGCTAGAGTCCAAGTCAAGTCTCAAGTCTCTGAGCTAGAGTCCAAGTCAAGTCTCAAGTCACTCGTGGTCATAATGAATGTTGTATCACCTGCTGCGTTCAAACTATGAAACTGCATAGCTGTAAGGGATTCTGTAACTGTAACCTTCATTTACAGAGCACAACCATGTAATGTGCAATGCAATTAATGACAGCTTATTAACTAGCCTACTGTAGGTCAACACAGCCCGCAGACTCTCAAACCCGGTGTAACGTTATAACTATCGTTACATGATCAACAATAAACCAGTAACATGTTTGCAGCCAGCGTGTATAATTAACTTGATGGCAGTGGGACGTAAATGATTACGTTAATCGACTGCCAGAAGTTGGGCAAGTAAACAAACGCTCATTCATCTTTTCATAACGAACAACAGTCTGACCTAACCTCCGGTAGGTAGTAGCTAAAGCAAGAGGCAAGCTAACGTTAAATGGCCAATGCTGAGCTAAACATGTTCACTAACCTCACGGTTAAGGTTAGGGTAAGGGGCTTTGGGGAGCTGTCAACACATTTTCTAAAAATAAAGCTAGCTACCTAGCTAGCTGCTACTGCTTCCGATCTAGACAGGGCGTCTCATACGGACGCTGGAGCTCAATAGCTAACTAAGCAGTTAGAGGAAGCTCGTAAACACAGACACAGACACAGACACACACATCATTTGAACCTGATACATGATAAATCAAACTGTGACTATAAAAGGTTCTTGATTTGAAAAGATTTCCTAGAGATGTAATACTTTGTTTTTCAAGATGCTTCTGGGTTATAGTTATGATACTGTATAGTTTAAAATTAATCTAAAGTCTTGCTAGCATCACCTTGAGGCTGCAGTGTTGATTAAATTAATGAACAACATCCTGATGATTTAGCTGTTTGTGCTAGGTCATTGGGTCATTAAAATCTAAAAGGTTCATTCTCTGGAGAAAAGGAAATTATATATAACTGTCTGTCTTACCAATCAGCATGATGAGGCAAACCACAGGAAGTAGACTCTGTTACCCTGTCCTCATCTTCAGAACTTTGTTTTCTCATAATGAGACAATTTATGATAAAACACATTCTGACTTATGGAAGTGAGGGGAGTAAAATAAAAGTCAGGACATCAAACTGCGGTCAGACATCATCCTCGTCTTCAGGCTGATTAACAGGAAGTTAGAAATGGTTTGTTTATAGGCCCTCGCTCTGATTGTTTCCTTTGAGACTCCGCGATGTTGGATCAAACGTTGGCTCATTGCCTCTGAGACTAGGCGGGAAATTATGTCAGAAGACCAGTATGAGGTCCAGTTTGTCGACTATTTGATCAATTGCAGTGAAATTCTGTAGAGACATTAACTATCCCCAGTGGATGACCTTTGCTGACTTTGGTGATCTCCAAACTTTTCCTCTAGTGCCACCGTGAGGTTCAAGTTTTGTGGTTAAATGTTTCAACAAATATAGATTTAAACCCTTAACTTTTCATCCAACGCAGTCATCAGGTTAAACTTTCAATTTGTCCAATATAAAAAATGTATGTGAATCCTTTGGAATCACCTGGATTTCTGCATAAATTGGCCATAAAATGTGAACAATAGACAAACACTGCTTAAAGTAGTACCACACAAACAATTATATGTTTTTATTGAACACACTGTGTAAACATTCACAGTGCAGAAAAAGTACGTGAACCCTAATCAGGAATCAGCCAACTTGGAGTCCAATCAATGATGAATGATGATGAGATTGGAGGTGTTGGTTAGAGCTGCCTTATAAAAAACACACATCGATTTTAATTGTGCTATTCTCATGAAGCATTGGCTGATGTGAACCATGCCTCAAACAAAAGAGCTCTCAGAAGACCTAAGATTAAGAATTGTTGACTTGCATGAAGCTGGAAAGTGTTACAAAAGTATCTCTAAACGCCTTGATGTTCATCAGTCCACGGTAAGACAAACTGTCTATAAATGGAGAAAGTTCAGTACTGTTGCTATAATTGACGGAAAAATTTAATCCAAAGTTTATCAAGAAATTTTGCAGGAGAATGTAAGGCTGTCTGTCCGCTAATTGAAGCTCAATAGAAGATGGGTGATGCACCAGGACAACGACCCAAAGCACAGGACTAAATCGACAACAGAATGGCTTAAGCAGAAGAAAATACACCTTCTGGAGTGGCCCAGTCAGTCCTGACTTCAACCCGATTGAGATGCTTGGCATGACCTCAAGAGAGCAACTCACACCAGACGTCCCAAGAATATCGCTGAGCTGAAACAGTTCTGCAAAGAAATAATCCAAAATTCCTCCTGACCGTTGTTCAGGTCTGATCTGCAACTACAGGAAACGTTTGGTTGAGGTTATTGCTTCCTTTCAACCACTTATTAAATCCAAGGGTTAACATAATTTTTCCGCCCCGCACTGTCAATGTTTACATGGTGTGTTCAATGATAACATGAAAACATGTATTTGTTTGTGTGGGATTAGTTAAGCAGACTTAGGTTACATGAAGATCAGATCACATTTTATGACCAATTTATGCAGAAATCCAGATAATTCCAAAGATTCACATACTTTTTCCTTACACTGTCCAAAAACCTGTAAAACTATACTGACATTCTCATCAGCCTTAGCTGTACTTTTTGTTGCTAATTTAAAAGCATAGACTATAAAAAAAAGGGCTAGCACAGTATAACAGCCAACATCAGCATTTTAGTAGGATATTGTGAACATGCTAGCATTAGCATTTAGCTTGAAACTTATTATTAAAATTAAAATTATTATTAATTATTATTAAAAACATTCTTCTCATAGATAGGCTACCTACTTTAAACCCCTTTTTAAAATACAACAAATGAAAAAATTAAGGTGGTCTGGAAAACATCTAATTGAAGCTGAAACCTCTGTCAACTCACTTCAGTAGATTTGACATGAATTAAAAAGACACCGGTGTAACGGGGTTTACAGTGTAGTCCACCCATAGGAGTCCACCTCTGTGCTCGGTCAGCAGTGCGCGCTGCCGCGGCACAGAGCCCCGCCGCCGTGCACCGTGAACGCGCCTCTCCATGCGGTTTGATTAAAGAAGGAAAAGCAGAAAGAAATCAGCTGATGATAAAAAGGACATGAACCCGTTCCTGGAAAGGAGAGTAGAGTAGAGGACGATTTCGGTCTCTCATCTGAACCCCTTCCCGGTGTTCTGGGGGTCCGGTTCTCGGCTCAGCTGCTCCGCTCTTTGTCAGCCGGTTCACACACACAGAGACCCGGGCGGGTTTGTGTCTCTGAATGAAGCCGCTGTACCGGAGAGACACTCGTTGGTTTTAACACTATAATGAGCCGGTAGTGTTTTATTCTCTCGAGTTTTCTGTGGAATATGTGCTGTTAGGATTTATTTCCTGTTGGATTTTTATCACCTTTTGTTTGGAGGAAGAAGCGGCTGATGCTGCAGTTCATATAGTGAAGTCACACTGACGGAGGAATCACCAGATCAGGTCTTAATCGTTTTTATTAGCCTAAATCTTCTTCACAGGACCGTGGGAATGTGGAAACATCGCTGATGGAATTATTTCACCTTCGCAGGATGGATGTTTAAATTATTCGGAATCTTATTCGGTTATTTATCATAGTTGGCTCTGGGGAACGGCTTTGGGTTTCCTCAGTCTTTTGTGTGCAGTTGATCTGTCAGTCCCGGATTCTGTTGGACTGCTCCGGTCCCGTCCCGCTGTGTCCTGGGCTGAGCAGCACCATGCCGGAGTGCGTCTCGGTGCCCGAGTTCTTGCAGGAGGTTCTGGATGACTGGAGCTCCCCCACCACCTCCTCTTTCACCTCCAAGATGATCAGCTGCAGGAACACTGTCTACCTGCTGGAGGAGGTCAGTACTGACAGAGGGGTGGTTGTGGTCGGTACTAGTAGGCTCTTGGTAGCAGTACCAGTAGTAGTACCCTATCTATGCTAGTGGTGGACCGGAAATGTAGGCTACTATGGGAGGTTTCACCAGCCTAATGAATGAGATGAACCATTCTTCTCTCTTCTTCTCTTCAGCCAGGGCTGGAATGAACTACTTGGGGGCCCAGGGGCAAAAATGAGCTGCTGGACCCCCATTAAGCCCCCCCCCCCTCTCTGTGTATTAGTTTTCTAGATTAAAATTAGCACAGTTTCCAGCATTCTAACCTCTCTCTAAAAATTACATTTACATTCTTCTCATTATTTAACAGCAAATACACGATTAAATAATATTATATCTTGATCAGCTGAAATCAAAGTTTACACTCAAGACAACAAAAGCACGATGAAGGTTTTTATGGTTCTGTTTTGAAATAGTTTCCGTATAAACCTTTAACCACATATAGACTCTAGAGATCCGGCCTCTGTCAAATAACTTTGACAAGTCCAACTGTCAACACCCTAACCTCTGATCGAAGCACTTTGTGAGCTGAAAGAAACACTGCCTGGGAACATGATTAAATTTTTTTTTGAGATCCTAAGGTAGGCTATCTCTATAACACCCCTACATGTAGAGAAATACAATTTGTCACCCAGTCTTAGTAAATATACAGTAACAATATGAACATATTTCTTAAATACTACTAATACTATAAGCCACGCCATCTGCAATTTAAAATGAATAAATAACCCACCATTTTCATGAAGCACCTTGTAAAAATAAATCGTTTGTGACAACTCACCATTGATTACCTACTTTTTCTACGCTTAATAGCTAATTTTAACCTTGGGGGTGGTGACTTTGATTGTCTTGTTTTGTCCAACCAGAAGTCCAACAATGAGTCTATTATTAAAATATTATCCAACTATTTTCTGTCCATCTACAAATCAAACAGTTTGTGTAGCTGTGAAGTTGCTCCGCTGCTGTATGATGTCAGTTTCTGTGTGTGTGTGTTTTTGGTTAGGGGGCCCTTCAAACCCCCCAACACGCACACACACTGTCTGTTGGTCAGGGGAGTCATTGACCCGGAGACTTCAGATGTTCGACTGACCTGAAAAACAGAGACTCAAACTGCCCCTGCCCCCCTTTTTACCCCCAATGGAGTTGGCATATGTAACCACGGCAACAGATTAATCCACATTAGTATTCATTGTTTTTTGATGGTAATGAGGAGGAGCCACAGAGCTGATTATTAATAAGGATATGAGTTAATCTGCAACCTGATGCTGCATTCATGGGAAGCTAGAAAGTGGGAATTTACAACTTTGTTGAGAATGTTATGCATTAAACACCCTATTTATATTTCATGAACTGGACTGTGTGAATCCAGACTTCGTGGTCTGTGGTCATATGTTTCCTGATGAGGATTTGAGTGTGTCAGTCCGTGGCTTCCCAGCATGCACTGGGTCAGAGGATTCATGGACACAAGTCTCAATTTATGCTTCACCTCATTCTTGACATTTGTGATGATTCCAAGCTGAAAATGTTTCATGAAACTAAACCAAAGAGTTTTATTGAAACTTCCTCAAGTGGCCTGTCTAAAGATAAAAAAAGATACAAAATGGGGAAAATGATTTAATTTTACCTATTGCTCAAATAAACAGTTACAGTACACAAAGGAGACACTGGGGACAGGATTAGTTCAAGTTAATTCATAGAGATACACAAACCCCAACTCTACTGTCAACCATGTCAGCATGAGTGATTGGTTGTCGAATATTGTTCTTGAAGTTCTTGTAAAGCTATTTGTAAAACAAGGTCAATCAGTTTTTGGGGGTGAAATTATATAATTAATGTGTATTTCTCAGCATCACTGAGCACCTGTGGCTCTGTAAAAGATCTGTGAAATTGTAATCAATCTGTAACGTTCCTGTATCATGAATTTTAACTTAACTAAGCCAGGTATGTATTCTGTTACTATGAAAAGTACAATAATAATAATGACTGTTTAATCTATTTTTAATTCTATCTAATCTGGGAATTGTTAAGCTGTTTACCATTGTTTTTTTTTTTTTGCACCTCAAGAAATGATAAATCAGATCCTATGTGTAAAAATAAGCATTGTTGATACATGTAGCCCTTGATGTTTGGAAGTGGAGTACAGATTTAATCCTCTCCTCATGCCATGATAGAGTAAATGTTCTGTAAATTTATTGAGAAACTGTTAATGGATAAAATACCCAAGGAATGTTTTTTTTTTTTTTTAATCTAATGAATCAAATGCCTCATAAATCAAAATATTTCATCACATTGATGCCAACAAGAGGCCTTTTTTCACAGCAGACATTTTGACAGTGTCACTGTAAGAAAAGCACAGATGTAAATAACAAAATGAATGGAGGGTGAATTCCATTTAGCTGCTTTTGTTCCAGGGTCCTGTTATTGTTCATGCTGGCTTGCTGTCTCTCTGTCTCACTCACTGTCATGTTTTAGTAGGACAGCGTGGAGCCATTATTATTAATAACTCTTGTTCTTTTCGTACCATGAAAAGTCAAAATGTCAGCTGTGAAAAAGGTCTGATACACCCATTTATAAAAATTAAAGACATCTGAGTATAACCTGTGCTGCAAAATCTCTGAGGATAGACAAATTTATATCTTCTTTGATTATCGGACTAAAAGTCAGTGACATCTGACTTCAGCTGCTTCATGTGGAGATTTAGATGATGAGACTCACACAGGAATGTAGCTGTCTGTTGTCAGAGAACAAAGCTCGTCCTCTGTGTGTGTGTGGCACTAATTCACCTGCTGACTCAACACACACACACACACACACACACACACACACACACACACACACACACACACACACACACATTCAGCATATTCACATACTGATAATTAGAACATCTCAGATGTTTGAATGTTCTGTTAAATGTGTGTGTTCAGGTTCTGGACAGTGACCGGTTGGTGTTGCAGAAGATGAAGAAAGCAGCTAAAGCCAAATACACATCAGGACAAGGTACACACACACACACGCGTGCACACACACACACACACACACACATTACTTCCTAACACTACTAATAATTATTTCCTCCCGCACGTTCGGATAAGTCCCTACACCACTCAAACTTACAGCTCTCACCCCCATCCTCAGGAAACCTGGTCTCAACCCCGACATCATGTCCACCTTCCAACCTATCTCCAATCTTCCCTTCCTATCAAACATTCTGTGACGTGTTGTCGCTGCTCAAATCAAGACCCACCTTACCTTTAACAACCAGTTTGAACCATTACAACCTGGATTCCACAGACTCCCACCAGCCACAACACACCACTTGAACAGCCCTCCTGAAAGTCACGAATGACCTCCTCCTCTCTTATCATTCTGGCCCACTCACCATCCTCATCATGCTTGACACATTTAGATCACTCATTAATAGCTTCCTCTTTAGATTAGCCTTCACCTTCGAATAATATTAAAAGTCACCTGTTGTTATTTGCTAGTTTTATTGTTTCCCTTGTATTTATGCATTTTATGTATTGATTTTATTGCTTCACCTATTTTTTAACGTGCTTAATGTACTGATTTTATTGTAAAGTGACTTTGAGTATCCTGAGAAGCGCTATAGAAATAAAATGCATTATTATTTATATTATTACTACTTCTTTCTGTCAGACCACGTGTCTCACCTGGAGCAGTACATTCATTCGATGGAGAGGCTGTCTGTCAACTGTCACTCTAATGGAGAGACGGAGGTTGGCTCTGCCTTCTGCCGACTGGCGGACTTTTCTAAAGAGCTCCTCTCTCCCATGAAGAACCTGGTAAGACATCAGTGATAGCAGTATGATGTCACAGGATCAGAGGTCACAACTCCTGCACCTGATAAGCTTTAGAGCATCTCCTTTAAACCCAATGATTAGTGCTGATCTGGTCTTACTAAACTAATTAACAAAACATCAGTTAATTAACTAGATTAACTAGTCTATTCAAAACTCCCTCTAATTAAAAACCCATGGTTCCGGTTAACTGTTCCATTCCATACTCTATTGGAAAAATCTATTGAATTATAATTTGACTCCATAGAAAAATCCCTGACCTTCTTAAAAACCAGTTGGCTCCGGTCCTTTACACACTTAAATTGGAAAATTGCTTGATGAAAAACCAACTGGGTCTTACCCTGTCTATTCCAAACTCCACTGAGAAACACTCTAATTGAGAACCTATGATTTTCCATTGTGGAAACCTCTGATTAATAATCAACTGCATGAGGCACATCAACCTTTAAACATCAAACAACATGCTGTGTGTTGCCCCTTACTATAGGCTATCAGTGGAAGTTACTTCAGTTATGTTTTTCAAGCAGATGTACAAAAGTTTTAAAAATAAAAATTCTCATCATCTTTCTGTTGCTTATATTAAGCAGTACAGTAAAGTATTACTCATGATGCCTTTCAACAGTGAATTTTCTCCACCATAGATGACCTGTGTCTGTGTCTGTGTGTGTGTGTGTGTGTGTGTGTGTGTGTGTGTGTGTGTGTAGTTAAAGAGCATGCTCCACAACATCAACTTCTTCCTGGACTCTCTGGTTAAAGGAGACCTGAGGGAGGTGAAGGGGGTGAGGACTTTATCTTTACTTTCTGCTTTCATGTCACCTGGATGATGCATATAAACAGACCTCAGGTCAGACTGGATGGACTGTTAAACATGTCACAAAAGTTATTATTATTAATATTATCATATCTGCTCCTTGTGGCCTCGGGGTAACGCTGTCTGTCACCTGTTTGTAGTAAAGTTCATGATCAGAGGTTGGATCTGTGTGTTTACATTCTATCATGAAAAGAAGAATGTGTTAAAGTTCGATAATAATTTAAGTGGATCTATGTCTTTGTAGGATCTGAAGAAGCCTTTTGACAGAGCATGGAGGGACTATGAGAGCAGATTGTGAGTGATCACACTGAATTATCTTTTACAAGATACTATTATCTCTATTATTATTTTTTGTTTTTGGAGTATTCTGGTGTGTTTGTGCATGTGAATATCATTATTATGGTTTCAGAAAACTTGATAAGTTCTTGTCTATGTTTCGAGAAACATTGAATATGGAGTACTCTGAAAGATCCGGATACTTTCTCTACTAGAGTTGCATATTCAGAGTGGTCGCTGAGGACTTAAAAATCACTGCTAACCAAGCTACTTTGTCTCGATACTGCTCGCTTAGCCAAGGATTCTTCCACCACCATTTCATTAACTCTGGCTGAATGCTGTAATGGCACATCTTAAACCTGAACAGCTAATGCATACTACTCTTGGCTAAACCAGAATGTTTCGTAAGATCTGGAAACCTTTTCTACTTTATTGAAAAACCTTGACAAATCTCCATTACTAATAATTTATGCATGGTAATGCTGGAGGCTAGAGTTGATGTTGGTATATGTGGTAATTGAATCTGTGCGTGACAGTTTGTTTCCAGTTTGTTTCAATAAATAATCAATTAATAAAAAGCTCTTACTCTAACCATGTGCTCCAGATCCTATAACATTGATAACCTGGGGGCTGACTTGGACAGCTGCTCTTATCTACCATTACTGATGACCAAATGAAGAAGCTAAATCGAAGCAGAGCATTTCACTTGTTGTAACTGTCATTTTTATTACTAGAGGTTGAAAATGTTCTGGACACTATTGGTGTATGTTAATGCGCCAAGTACGCTACTACCAGTGGTCTGAAAGCGTCTACAAACAACTATAAATTTATCATTTAACCTCCAGAGCCTCCATCAGACTTCAGTAAAACCACTTCCCAATAATGGAAGCTAATACTTGATGTGACTATATTGTGGACTTAATATCCACTGCTGCCAAAGCCGTGATATGATTATGTACAAACAGTCCTGTGTGATGTCAGGAGGCTTAAATATTTCTCTAGAAATATCACTGGGCAGCATATGATGTCGGGTCAGTGACACTGATATTTAGCAGCCTCACTGTCAGTGGTAAAGATGTATTCAGAATATTTACTCAACTAAAAGTACCAATCCAACAATATACAAATAATCTATTATAAGTAAACGTCCTAATTAAATAAAAGTACAGAAATATTATCAGTAAAAACTACTTAAAGTATCAAACTACTTGTTTAGTCCCTGTTACCGATATATTATTATGGCATTATTAGATTGTTAAAACTGGTCCATCAGTGTGTAGGCAGCATTTTACAGTTATACCTACTTTTAACTGCATTAACATATTATATATTATCTAGTTTACTCCACTGGTTCCCAACACCCCTATGTTGGCTAGGCCCCTTCAAAGGGACACAAGATAAATCTGAGGGGTCATGAGATGATTGATGAGAAAGGAAAAAATAAAGTTCTGTTCATTTTCTGGACTTTGGAGGAAATTTTTGCTTCATTTCGTGAATATCAGGTACTTTTACCTCTTTGGGCCTCAACTGTTATTTAAATGAAACTATCTAAAAACTTTAAAAGGGAAAGGCCTCTATGGTGGAACTGCTAGCAACATGTTGTAACTTATAACCTTATTTTTCATGCAAAATCTGAAAAGTAAATATAGGTGTCAGATAAATGTGATGGAGTAAAAAGTATTAATTGGAAATGCTCAAGTAAAGTACACTTATCTCAAATTTGCTGTCTGTTAGTGGAGACAGGTTACAGATAAAACAAACACAGCTGATTAAACACACACATAGTCTGTATGTGTGGAGTACCTGTAATGTAATTAGTGGATTCAAATAGTGTGTGTGTGTGTGTGTGTGTGTGTGTAGCAAGCAGGTGGAGAAGGAGAAGAGGGAGTTAGCTCGTCAGTATGGGATGGTGAGGACCGAGGTGAGTGGAGGAGAAATTGCAGAGGAGCTCGAAAAGGAGAGACGCTCCTTCCAACTGAGCATGTGTGAGGTCAGTGACTTCACCTTTTTCTGTGATCCCCCCTCCCACTTTGACTCCCCCCTCTCCCTGATCCTTCATCTTTACCTCATCGATTTTCTCCTCCTCTTCTTCTTTTTTCTTCCTTCTTCTTCTTCTTACTTCATCTTCTTTTTCCTGGTTCTTCTTTCTCTTCTTAATGCTCATCCAGGGCCTCCTCACACTTCTTCACCTCCCTCTGCCGCTTCTCCTCAGCTACTCTGAAACATAATCATCACTAACAACTTGTGCACCAGTCGCTCGGTCCAATAAATAGACTCTTCTCTCTCCCAGTATCTGATCAAAGTCAACGAGATAAAGACGAAGAGAGGAGTCGACCTGCTGCAGAACCTCATCAAACACTACCACAGTCACAACAAGTAAGATCACACACACACACGAACAAGCCAATATGCAGTAAACAGACATGGTTGTATTTACTGTATCTGTGTGCATGTGTGTTTAGTTTCCTGCAGGAGTGTGTTTCCACCACTCAAAGGTTGAAGCAGTACATGGAGGAGCTGAATGGAGTCCTGACGACGGTATGACAACAAGGAACAGCAGTGCACTTTCATATTGTGGCTGTGATGAACAGCAGCATCTAGGCGTTATGTTTTGGTAGATTTTCTCCCCCTGCAGTCAAAGTACATGGATAACAATGTTAGCTTAATTTGATTATTGATAATTTAACACAATCATCAAAATTATCTGCAGCTGTTGTCAGAGCAACAAGTCCTGAAGGTTAGTCCTATAAAAGCTCACTCACAGGCATTTTTAGGGTGAAACCCCACACATTAAAATTATTTTCAGGTACAAATGACTCCATTTCTTAGAGATATGTTAATTTTAGATGAGAACATGTAGGAGAGATACACTAGAGTTAAATACCTACAGTATACATGATAAAATACTCAACAAAAAAAGATAGGTACCCTTAAAAATAAACCAACCTGACTGTCTGACTGTGGACAAATGGACCCAAAAAACATGGATGTAAGACATTTATGAATAAATAAGTATAGACTGTAATTATGTGTGTAAAATGATCTATTAATAAAAGTAAACTAAAGATAAATTATCTACCAAACACCGTGATGATGGATGGCCTTGCAATTAAATTTGCTTAATCCACAACATCAGTCTCTGTATGGTGATTTAATAACTATTAACATTTAGTTAAGTTTTTAACAACTAATTGTATAAGTGATGAAAGTGTGGAAGCAGCAAAATAACAGCAGTAACAAAGCAGGACACACATCAAATGAGAATTATGTCCATGTGTCTATCCCCCCAGAGTATAGAGAGGTTTCCAGTATTAGAAACTAACTAAGTATGTTTACTCAAGTACTGTACGTGAGTACACACTTTATGTTATTTCCGTTTTATGCTACTTTAAACTTCAACTTCAAAGGGAAATATTGTACTTTTAACTCCACTAAATGTATTTGATACCTTTAGTTACTTTTCAGATTCATTTTATTAATATGAAATATAATACATTTAACAAATATATTATGATTTATAAAGATACGACTTTATTGATCCCCACACATTTTTCCAAAATAACTTAACCTAACATTAAAAGAACAACCCTCTGACTGTGTGATAAATAACCAAATTAGCTGGATGAGAATTAACAGGATCATTTCAGCCTGATCACAGCGTGTTAGCCTGGATTTGTTGAGCTACATGTGAAGAAAACGGCTCAGGTGAGCTGTTGTGTGTCTGCAGGTGAAGCAGCGCCAGGAGGAGGAGAAAAGACAGCTTGTGTCTCTTAGAGATCAGCTGAGGCCGGTTGTCCACACAGACCAGGTGAGAGACCCAGCACTCACACTAATGAATATTATAATACTGTTCAACAGAAAATGAATGTGTGCGTGTGTGTGTGTGTGTGTGTGTAGGACTCTTTACCTAAGCAGGTGTACAGTATGCATCAGCTGCTGGGAGACAAACAGTACGGGACAGAAAGAACAGGATTCCTCTACAAGAAGAGTGACGGGTAAAAGACAAAAAATAAATAAAAACACATTAGAATACACACTGAAACACTGACCATCACTATTAGTAATTTTAGTAGTACATCTAAAACTGTGTCTGTCTGTGTTTCAGGTTGAGGAAAATGTGGCAGAAGAGGAAATGTTCAGTTCACAACTGTTACCTCACCATCGCTCACGCTACTGTAAGCTCACCTGCACTGTGTTCTTGTTTTCTTTACGTTGCTGCCTTCAAAATAAAAGCACGCAACCCGTCTGTCGGAGCTAGATCAAATGAATGACGTGTATTTGATATTGTTGGATAACTGTTATACAAGTAATATTCTGTTGAATGATTAAATAAACTGTTTCATAGTAGCCTATTTAAGTTTTGTGCAAGAGGAATTACAGGCCTGTCCCAAATATAGGCAGGGTCAGTTCAGTGATTTTAGCAAATAAAAGCCCGGACTATTAATCAAAGTTTTACGGTAATCTAGCAGTGCACTTCTAACCTGGTGAATGTTTGGTCGCTTGTTCAACAACCTAAGGTGCAGGACAAGACGTGTTGTTTCTTGTAAGTTAGATAAGAGGAGACTTTAGCAGGAAAGCTAATGTGGGTTGTTGTTCAGAGTCAGGTGCTTTTGGGTTAAAGATACCTAAAGCATGAACAGTTCAATGCAACATGTAATCTAGCAATATCTTGTCACACAGATATAAGCTTCACTGTTTACTCTTCACTCTCCTGACAGTTTCAGAGCCACACAGAGTTGCTGCTGATGCTAAATCAACATTGCCTGCCAAGGCAATCACAGAGAAATGCAATGTATTGGTCTCAGAGGTTGGTGCTAACAGTGATTGTGCATCAACAATGCGTCTACAAAACAAGTTTATTGCAGGGAGTAATGGAAAGAAGGAGCAGGCACAGTCAGCTATTGGATTAAATCAGATCTTACACCAGCTGCCTCTCTGTTTTATTTCTGACTGTAGCTTTCCAGCAAGTGTTTGTGTAGCATTAACAGGCACTGTCTCACTACGGGTGTTGTTCAGTCAAGTTTTCAGACTTAATTGATCTTTCCTGTGACTATCTTTATTCTCTTCTTTTGTTGGTAGATTTGAAAAATACTGTCAAAGTTTAATGGCTGATCCTCCAACATTACGTTAAACGTAATCAATCCTTTGTCCGTATTTGATAGCAGAATCTCTAATAATGTTACTGTATAACTTTTGAATTACTTATGACTTCTTACTAGTTTGTCAGCCAGCTGTAACGCAATCACAAATCAAGATTTCAGTCAGGACAACTTTTATCAAATAAATTGATATTTGCTCTAATTTATGTTTGGCGGTAACTAGGAGAGCACACCTCTCTGCCCATCCATGTGCATTCATGTAAAATGAATGAAAAAAAAATTAAAATGAAATGAGGCAGAGAGCAGCAGCAAAGACCCCCCCCTCCTCCCGAGCCACAGGGTACAGAACAGAGTAGGCATCAATAACAGAAATAATTTGAGCGAGAAAGAAGGAGCTGTGGTGGCGTCAGGTTACAAGCTGCTTGCAGATGAAGCAGCAAGGATCAGCAGGCTAAAACTGCTTAAACAAGGAATCTTTTATGGAATTTGCCAATGAATGCTAAGATAGGAGTCAGCTGAGATTTCATCTGATGTGACTGGCTTTGAGATGGGCTGCTGTCAGCTGATGTGCTGGGATTGTGAGCTGAGCTTGACTTCATTGCCTGCCTGAACTAACGCTATGTTCGGTTAGTTTGATTGATTGATACTGATCACCCCCCTTTTGTATCTCTCAGCCTAATAAACCTCCGACCAAACTCAACCTGCTCACCTGTCAGGTTAAACCCAGTGTGGAGGACAAGAAATGCTTTGACCTCATATCTCGTAAGATACGCACACACAAACACACACATAATAAAGGGAACATGAAACAGATAATAGTATAATAGTATATAATAGTATTTTGCATAATGTGAAAATAAGAAGAAATATGATAACAAATAAATATAGAATAGGCCTATATAATATTAGTTATATAAACAAAAAAATATTAGGGATATAAACAGTTCATAAAACATTTGTGCTGTATGTAAGGCATAATACCTGGTAAGTTTGTACGTTCCATGATTGTAATGGAACGTACAAATGGTGGTGCAGTGGATTTCAACCACCGTGTTACAATCATGGAACGTGCAAACTTTCAGGGTATTTTCCTACATAGACCATGGCCACTTACCAACAAAATGCCAGATTAAAAAAAGTTTTTTATTTACTCATAACTAATTCGGATCTCGCTTTTCAATTTTAAACAACCGATATGGTTCCTGAGCCTCAGAATTCCTTGTGCCATTTGCATTGCTTTGCAGCATCTAGCTAGACAGGAAGGGTTTCACCATAGATGTATCTATTTTATATCTGTGGGTTTCACAGGGTCATCTCTCCCTTGCAGCACATTCCTCTAGCTACCAGCCTCACTGTAGCTAACGATATTTTAAAAGTAATCTCTTTCCTCCTCCGACCGTCAGTTGATTTGGACGTCCAGATTCACGCAAATATCAAACACATTTCAGATTACATTTGCATGGTTCTGACTGAGCAGGTGTAGTGAAAGGCAAAAGCAGTCACCCTGTCAACCTGGATTGGAACACGGGTCTACAGGGTACAAACATGCAACTTCAACCGCAACGCCAAAGAGTCAGAGCCAGGATCAGTATGGCAGTCTAAGCACATACTCCACTGTAGTGAGGGTACTCCGTCACAGCAGCTGTTAACCTTTTTTTTTGATGGTTACCTAATTATACAGTGGTGGAATATAAGTACCCTTACTCAAGTACTAGACTCAAACACAAATTGAAGTATTTGTAATGCAATGTATGCAACTTGATACTTCTACTCCACTACATTTGTCTGACAACTTTAGTTACTTTTCAGATTACAATTGTTCATGTCCTTCCTGTCTAGTTTTTTTATTTTTAAGTATTAAGAGTCCCTTTGTAGCTTGAGAAAATTCTCCTACTTATTAAGCTAAATAAACTATTTAAACCTGCCTTGGATCAGTTGGAAAATGCATCGTCACAAAACTGAAAGCCAGGCTGTTTCTCTGAGTTCATGAAAAGTTGTTAGAGATACGTGGTTACAGGACGGAGACACTACAAACATATTATTTATTTATTAACCAGCATAAATCACATATATAGTTTCTTTAGAGTAAGTACTTTTACTTTTGATACATTACATACATGTTTGATAGATATACTTTTACTTAAGTAAAGTTTTAAATACAGGACTTTTACTTTTAGGAGGTTTTTCACAGTGTCTTTAATTACAGTTTAAAACTGGCGCTCATTTAGAAATGTAAACAAACACATATGTCACAGGTGTCCAGTTATAATTTCCGGTTACTAAAAGTTAATCCACATCTTCCAGCTAAATCAGAATCCAGAATTTTCAGTGACCATGGTATAAATGCACAAACATAATTATATGGGTCAGCATATTAATTGCATTATATATAACACCCTTTGTGTGTCCTCCAGATAATCGGACCTACCACTTCCTGGCTGAGGATGAAGCTGAGTGTGTGGCGTGAGTCAAAAATAAACTTTATCACGAGGAGCTGTTGAAAAAGTAATACTCATATCATTCAGAATTTGTTTATTAAATGTGTTTTGTGTCTATCTGTGTGTGTGTGCGTGTGTGTGTGTGTTCAGATGGATCTCGGTGCTCAGTAACAGTAAGCAGGAGGCTCTGAGCGCTGCTCTGGATGGCGGGAGGAGAGGGGGAGGAGGTGGGGAGAGCAGTGTGGAGGATCTGACCCGGGCCATCACTGATGACATCAGACGGATGCCAGGAAACAACAACTGCTGTGACTGCGGAGCACCAGGTAGTCTCTGTCTGTCAATCAATCAGTCAATCAAGGCATCTTGTCGGCTCTCTCATTCAACCTCATATCCACCCCACTTTAACTAAACATCGACGTTCCAGTAGAAATTTAATTTAACTACGTAATTGAGATGTAGATCTTTTTCAAGAGAGTCCTGAGAACAAAAACATTTACAGACCAACAAACAAGCGACAAATATAGCAATTAATAACAACAATTAAAAGAGTTATAACAAACGTCAGGTATAGAGTTGGAATAACAGATTATTTGATAATGAAAATACCATAAAACTTTAAATAATAGCCAGGGCTTTAATTTGCTTCATTCACTGAACTGAACCTGCATATATCTGGGACAGGCCTTTAATTCCTTTCACATAAAACCTTTGCTCAGCAAATAGGCATCTATGAAACTGTTTATTTAAACCAGTATGAATATTGCTTATATAAAATTGAGGAATAACATATCAATCATGAATCATTTATTTGATCTAGCTCTGAGATATGAGGGACAGCATATCTAGGTCAACCTCATGCAGAGAGAGAGAGAGAGAGAGAGAGGAAGAGAGAGAGGAAGAGAGAGACTACGATAGAAAGGATGAAAACCAAAGACTACTGTAGTTATTTCAACTTTAACTTTAATTAAAAAAACGTTTTCATTCTTTTGATCGGTGGACCCTTAGGGACTAAAGGAAAATAAATAATTAAGAAATGGACACATATTCTGACTTTATGTTGCGTCAAAGCCGCTGACCCGGTGGGCTTTAAGAGGCTTTATACATCCAAAGAACTTCTATAAAAATGAGACCAGGCCTCTAATTGTGACCTGTGTTTAAATGTCAAAACATGTAGCCACACCAGGCCAGTAAAAGGGACCGGCATCTAATGGCCGTTCGCTAAGCCACGCCCCAGCTGGCCAATCACAGCACAGTATAGGTTTTGCTCTAACTGAGGTCCGACATTTTCATGGCTGCGCTCTATTGACTCTAATGTAAAAGGAGCCGTTTTCTAGCTTTTTTTTTTTTTTACAATTACAGTCGCTACCCAGAGAGGTTGAAAGGAGAAGTATGATTTATTCCCTTTCCAAAACCTAAAGCAAATCCAGAAAAATGTAGACTGTGGATTGTTTCTAATGTAATGTAAGTTAGCTAACGCTAGCTAACTTACTGTTCTGCTTTTTAATGATTGTAATAGTGACTACAGACATACCCAGTTTTACAGGAACAGTGTTGATCCTTAATATCGTTGTCCTCTTTCTTAATAGTGAGGTAATGCAGTGTTTCACTTTTACTCTGTGACTGGTAGGCTTTAGCTTCTGTCTTTAATTTTTTCACGGAAGTTTGACAGCCTGAATTCAGCCTTTTATTTTTTTTAACCTTTATTTTACCAGGAAAGAAATCCATTGAGATTTTTAATCTCTTTTACAAGGATGTCCTGGCCAAGATGTGAGCCTTCAAATACACAATGCAACTGCAAAACTTTCTAAGATCACTTTCAAGATCACCAAACATTACACAATATTTCTCGAGGGAGTGCAGTAATAGAAAGTGGCAGCGGCTTGATAAAAGTCTGATAGGACAGTTTTTCGGACTTAGCAACAGTAACTAAGGGGGCATGGCTTAGCAAAGGGTCAATTGGGACTAGGCTTTTAATTGAATTTTTACGGTAGTCATTAGTTGCATCGCTAATTAGATATTTGTTTCTATTGCTACTTTCGTTGGTGCTGTCAGTAAAACTCATGTATATGGCAAAGATAATAAACAATAAACTCTGACTCTTTCTCTGTCTCTGTAGATCCCGGATGGCTCTCGACCAATCTGGGTATCCTGACCTGTATCGAGTGTTCAGGGATCCACAGGGAGATGGGGGTCCACGTCTCCAGGATCCAGTCTCTGAGTCTGGACAGTCTGGGGACTTCAGACCTGCTGGTAGGTCTCACCTGTTAGCTAACAAGCTAATCCATCATCAGTCCGTCCTGTAGTCAACTAAGTTTAGTTGACAGCTGAGTTCAAACCTCACAACTCGTATTGTCAGATATAAACTGCAGATTAAATCAGTTTTAGCTTATACTCGCTCTTAGTGGTCCTGAAAAGCACCTTTCGAGTCATTGTGTAGATCTCACATTACTTTTTATGTCCACTGTCTTGCAGCTTTTGACTTTCTATCAAAGAACCAGATATGTTCTAACACAGTTGATCATCTTTTGTACCGTAAACTGGGAGAGTTTCATGTCTATCCAAACTGTGAAGTGCGTCAACTATGAGTCAACTTAAATTGTCTATAATGGAACTGAATAGACCCTCTGGTTCTAGTTCACTAATCCCAACTAACTACAGGATGGCGCTGGATTAGCTTGTTAGATAACGAGATACAACATGTAATTTAGACAGCTTTGTTGGAAGGGCGACTTCCCGTTGATGGAGATAGTTCAGGACTTTCTTCAGTCAGTTCTGACTGATTCTAGTTAGATATAAATTTTCACAGGCTCTAACTTTCTTTTTTAATTGAATTTCCCGCTCTATCTACTGTGCATGTAGGGAGATAATTCTGTCTTCTCTCTCTCTCCCAGTTGGCTAGAAATGTTGGTAACGCTGGATTTAATGAAATACTGGAGGCGAACCTGATGAGTCCGTCACTGAAGCCCTCCCAACACAGCCACATGTAAGACACACACACACACACACACACACACACACACACACACACACACACACACACACACACACACACACAATTTATTCTAGTAAAATATAGTTTTCATTTTAATTAATTTGATACTGTATTTGTGTGTGTGTGTGTGTTTTGTGTGTGTGTGTGCGCGCAGGGCGGAGCGTAAAGACTTCATCCTATCAAAGTATCAGGACGTTAATTTTGTGAGGCGGAGCCACAGCTCATCTGCAGCGCTGCGACTTGGCCTGCAGGAGGCGACCAAGAGCTGCGACATCTACAGTCTGATCCAGCTGTACGCTCAGAGAACGGAGCTCAGCCAGCCGCTGCACACACACATACAGGTAAACTCAGGTGCACAGACATACGGGTACACACACACACACACACACACACACACACACACACACACACACACACATACACAGGTAGACTCAGTACAGGTTCAGACACAGATTATGTATCTGTGTGTTCACATACACACACTTACAGGTACACAGGTAGACACACATACAAGTATATGCCCACCAGGAAACAAACAGGTAAACTCCCATATACACACACAGTCAGCAGTGTGTTTCCATGCCAACAGGAGAAAGGGGAGACGGCGCTCCACCTAGCTGTCCTATTGGCCGACAGAACTTCACTGCACATCCTTGACTTCCTAGCCCAGAATTGGTCAGTCTGCTCTTACGGCATTTATGAGTGATTTTATCATATTATGTGTGTGTTAATGTGTACACTTGTGTGTTTACCTGCATGTGTGTTTTTTTTCTTCAGCTCCAACGTGGACGTGCAGACGTCAGCAGGAAACACGGCGCTGCACTACAGCTGTCTGCACAACAAGAGCGACTGTGTGAGACTGCTGCTGAGAGCCCGGGCCAACACACACCTGAGTAATACATGCACACAACTACGCTACACACCAATTGTTTTTACCCGACACCTGTGAGGATCCTCGTTGACAGACTCCTCCCACACCTCCTAACTTTTATCTAAACCCAGTTCAGACCGTCAAATCAAGTTTTATCCCTTAAGCAGCCAAAATATCATCACTTTCTAAAAATTACCATTACTTTCCAAAATATATATGATATTTGTGGAAAGTGAGGACATTTTCAGAGGGAGGGGATGATTTTAGAAAGTCGGGAAGTTTTTTAGAAAGTTGAGACATTCTGTCAAGTCAAGATATTCTTTGAAAGTGAGTGAAAGTGAAACAATTGGGGTAATTTTTCAAAGTGAGTTTTTTTGATGAAGATATTTCTAGAAAGTAAGGACATTTGTAGTGGGTACATATAAGTGAGGGCATGTTTTGGAATTGAGGAGATTATTTGAAAGTAGGGAAATTTATTTTTAAGTTACTTTCAGAAATATCTTCACTCTCAACTGGTCCTCACAAATGTAGAGGTACATGAGCTTATCCTGCTGATGATCATGACGGCAAAGAACCCGTTAGTAATATTAATATTGTAACTGTGTGTGAACAGAGAACGATTTAGGAGAGACCGCTCTGGACGTGAGTCGGAGGTTGAAGCACGGCCACTGTGAGGCGCTGGTGAGATCACAGTTACTCTTCTCTACATGTGACTGTTGATCTCAGCATTACACTAACTGTACCTGTGTGTGTTTGTGCAGCTGCAGCAGGCCCAATCCAACCAGTTCGAGCATCATGTCCATGTGGAGTACGAGTGGAGGCTTCGCCATGATGATCTTTACGATAGCGACGATGATTTTGACGACAAGGTAAATATGGCAACTGACAGCTGCTGAATTTTCTGTTTGATTGTTTGCTGTTGACAACACAGCTCTGCTTTAAAATTGGTGGCTTAATGCTCCAAGCTTTTTGATCTAATGCAGAAGTCTTAGATCATACAATAAAAGGACCAGTGTGTAAGTTTTAGGGGGATCTATTGGCAGTATATAATATTCTTGAGTATGTTTTCATTAGTGTATAATAACCTGAAAATAAAGCCTTTGTGTTTTTGTTTTTTATTCATTAACCAAAATGTAGTTGAGTCTAAGACCATTTATTGCAACAAGAATGCCTCATCAAGAATCATTTTAACTGCATGAATCTCTCCCTTCTCCTCTTCCGTTTCAGAACGGTCCAGTAAAGAAGGAGCGCTCCTCCTCTTCCTCCTCCTTCACCTCCTCCTTCTCCTTCTCCTCCCGTCCCTTTAGTTTCAATCAGTCTTCCTCCATCACCCCGCCATCCTCTGGAGCAGCTGGAGGAGGTCTGCTCAGTGTGGGGAGGAGGCTCGCCATGGCTATGGAGCTCCACAGCCGGCCCTCTGGCTCGGCCTCCAGCCCCCCTCCTCCGCCCCCATCTTCCCCTGCACCTCCGCTGCCTCCCAGGGTCAAAGGTGATCTCAGATTCTGATTGTTGTGTGTTTTATTATCATATCTTTAATGTTTCCAAGTGTTTCTCTGTCTTCATCTTCCTCTTGACTGGAAAAAAACACATCTTCCTTCCTCATTACATTTTGTTGTTTGTGCTGAGCCTGGCAAGAACCAGCAGCTGGATATATGCCAGCTGTTACACCAAAATAGCCCTCTTTTTCTTGTTAGGCTTTTAATGTGACACATCACATGACTTTCATCGACAGATGTTTAAAGACAGCGATAGCGATTAAAAAAACATGAAAATAGAAAGTAATTAAATTTAGTTTCTGTTTATTGTCTCAAACACACATCCAGCTCAAATGGATAAAAACAACATCTTGCATAAAATATTACATTGCAAACAAAGAACTTGGTCCACTCTAACACGCTTGATTCTTAAAATACAACGCAAGTTTCTAGCCATGCTAGCTCGGTGGCTCTAGGGATGGCAATGTCAGTCTGTCGGCCGGTTGACCATTGTGGTCCAAACTGAAATATCTCAACAAAACTACCTGCAAAACTGATGACATTACCATCAGTTTGCGTTTAATGCTCATTAGCAAATGTCTGTATTTAGCTAGTCTGGCTCACTGGCCGACTATTTTAGTCAAAATTCTTCTCTCCTTCTGCTGTCTTCCGACACTATTTTCAAAGCTGCGTCCAGGGCTTAGCACCACCCAAGATGATTGTGATTGGTTTAAAGTCACTACCATGGCAGTAGACTCTTAATCTTGTTTGTAATCATCCAGCCAGAAGAACTCTTCAGGAATAAAGGACATTTTACTTAAAAGTGTAGCCCTGGAAAAATCAGATAATGAGCAATAAAACGTGATTTTATCTTCATTCTCACTTAAATCCTATAACAAACAAATTCACACAGATGGTTGAGTGTTGAACAAGAGCAGATCAGAAAATGGGGAAGCTTCTCACTAAAATATCATCAAATTTACTTAAGAAAATCAGAAATAAAGACCAGATTCTGGGAACAAAAATCAATCTTCCATCTCTATTTTCTGTCTTCCTCCAGCTCCCAGTGTCCCTCCTCCTCCCCCTCCTGCTGCTGGGGAGGAAGGAGAGGAAGAGGGGGAGGTCTTCTTCCCCCTGATACGAAACAGAAAGTCTACCACTCCCCCTCCAATCGCAGTCCGACACAAGAGGAGCTGCTCCGAGTCCAGCAAGCATGGTAACATCTGAGAGGCACACTGCAATTAATCTGTCAGAGTGATAGTGTGTTATTAACTCTGTATGTGTGTGTGTAGATTACGGGTTGCCAACCAGTCCCAGGATCTATAGCGGCCCAGACTCCTCCTTTAAGAAGTGTGTGTGAGTATCTGAGACACAATCCCATTGAATTTAACAGAAATTCACATTTTATGACAAACATATCTAAGGGAACAGTGCTTCTGATTGGATCTGTTGTGGAATTACGTCACACCAGCCCCGTTGTCAGAAAGTCTGGATTTCCCATTTCCCAACTACCTAATATGAAAACAATCTTCCTTTGTGGCTTAAGTATAATCATTCAGGCACACTATTAAAAAAACAAATAGATCAATCAGAAACCATCAATACAACAACCTTGTGGTGATCACACGTGCATAAACATTAAAGGATCACTGTGATGCTTTTTACTCCCACACTCTGATCTGATCTCCTGAAGAAGATTAAATTATGTCGTAAGATGCTGTTTATGTTGTCTGAATTGTGTTTATTCAGTAATGGAAGAAGTAGTTTGTACTTACGTAACAGTAGCAATACCACACTATAAAAATAGTCACAATCTAGCCTACAATCATAATTTAGCAAAAGTAGAGTAGAGTAGTAGTAGTATAAACAGGAAATACTCAAAATTGTACTTAAGTACAGTTTTTGAGTAAATGTATTGTATCCACTGAATTTATTGTTGTAACAAGGTTCTTATGTTGCCTTCATGGCCAGAACTATGGCTGCTCAGCAACAAGAACAATAAGGCGCCAACTACAACATCACAAAGGCAGATCATACCTCAATAAGCAATATCAGTGGATCGTTCTTGCTTCCTTGTTAGACTGTTAGACTATCATCTACAGGCAAAAAGAAAACAGAAATTATTAACAAAACAAACATTCTTTTCCAGGCAGTTACACATATGCACTTGCTAAAAAGCATGATTGCACTTACTGTACCATGCTCGCTGGGTGGGTCGCACTTGCACCTCAGGGGGTGGGTCTGCAGTTGCATGATGGCGGAAGTAGCTCAACTCATCTGAAAAAAAAAGAAGATGAACTGTAACACCTGAACAAGTATTGTGATTGAAAGAGCGTGAAAAGTAGTTAATGAGCAAAGAAGTTGAACGGTTATGGAGAAATTGGTTAAATAGACAGCTAGAGGTAATGATTAATAGCTGAAATAGGTAGCTGAATTAAACTGTTGTTGTACGTGTCTTAAAGTAATGGATAAATGGTTGAAACATCTCTTTATGCCACTAGCAGTATGAAGGCAAACATGACCAAATCGACTTAACATTAACACACAAACCTTACATAAATATACACAAAATGTAGTATACTAATGTACACATTTGTATGGAGACGGGCAATATCTAAAATAGTTGCTTCAACCTGTTGAAAGGCAGTTTTCTTATTTAATTTATCTAAATAAGTTTGAAATAATAAAAGAATTTGCCACACTGTAAAACCTTCTAAACTTGACAGGAAACTCTGGTATCTTCATCATTACAAACTCGTGTTGTTTGTCCAAACTTTGTTCAAACTCTCAGATCCCAGAGTAATCAGAGTTTCCAAAGATTCAAAATATGTGTCAAAATATGGCTGGATTTTGGTGAAATGTGTCTAAAATGATGCAGCAGATGTAAATTATTTCCATTTTATGGGAAGGCTGAGCCATAAAAACTTTGTGTGTCTTAATATTTCACTACTTTGAAACATCATAGATCTCCGAACAACATGATACACAGAATGTTTTTCTGTGTGCTGAAGCTCGAAGAAGCTGTAACTGCTGAACAAGAGACGCTACTACTGACCTCTGGTGGACTGAAGCTGAATTACACCTCAGATGTAAACCTGTCTCCTTTGTGTCTCCTTTGTCTGTGTCTCTCCAGTCCATCTTCTCCTCTAGGCTCACTGGCTGAACGACCAGACAGAGGTACCTCCTGTCCAGAAACATCATCTAGCTTCACCCTCTCAGATTTACATGTTTTATTTGTCTGGAGTCTGATGGATCTATCATGTGTAACTGTACTTTATAGATAGGTAGATCATTGTTAGGGCCCAGGGAGCTGTGGAAGAGGATTTTCAGGGAGCTGATAAAGTTAAATTGTTAATTTTAGTGTTTAATCCAGTAGTTTAAAGAGATTAGTTTACATTTCCACCTGTGACAGCACTGTATGAAGTAATTTTTCAAACAAGATTGTCCAATATTTGATGGTTCATACTTCTGTGATGTGGGAATTAGATGATTTTCCTGATCTTACATTATAGTAAGCAGAATATCAGAAAAAAGCAATTTAAAGACGTCACCTTCAACTTTGACGTTACAAAGGAAAGTTGTCACAAATATATAAATAATCTAAATCTGCTAGTTTATTTATTATTAAAAAGACAACTAACCTCTCAAAATCCTTAAATTAAAATATAATAAATTAATGAAATGGGCGACCTGTGAATTTGATTGATCATCTGCCATTGAATCTATTACTTCTACCAGGCTGCATTTACCTCTTTTGATGTAATTCACATTTAAACCATTACTACACCACTTCAATTTTCCAACCTGATTTCTAATTCTGTGGTTTTTTTCTCTCCAGTTTATTGTTAATTTATAGTTTTAATGAGAAGGTGGAGTCGGCTTCAACCAGACCCTTGTTATTTGTGTCATAGCTGCACTTTTAAGTATCCTGTAGCCTAATATTGGTTTATTGTTAAAGTTAACTCAGTCAGTGTTACTTTTAAAATAGTGACCTACATTTAGGCTGAAGTGCTTGCTTAAGTTTTAATATTTTCATAATTAATGTTAGAACTGATCATATTTCTGACACAGCTTCTCCAACTGTCTGATTTAGCTGATATTATAAATTGTTGGCTAATTGTATTTTAAGCATGATTTAAAAGTATATACTTTACATATCTTGGCTGTCTTCCGATCAAATGATGAGCAAGCAATATCTTTAGCTGCCTTTGAGACACGAACATGAACTACACATTCCTTAAAAAAACTTCATATTGAAATATTTACATTAATTTTTCTCTCTCTGAGGTTTTCGGAGGGCAGACAGTGATAGTAGCTCCTCCCACTTCCTGCAGCTGGACAGTAAAGCCCCGCCCAACGGGTCTCCCACCAATCAGCGCTCTCAGAGCTTTGAGAATGACAGAAGAGGCCCCGCCCCCCAGCCACTTCCTCGCAGATCATTGGTGAGATCTTCAAAAACCTTTAACTCCTTAGCAACCATCTAGAACAGGAGTCGACAACCGTTACTATCTGAAGAGCTAGTTTATGCCAGAATGAAAAACTAAAGCCGGGGAAAAAATGTATTTCAGCTCTTTAAATGCAGGAACCACATCCTGTTATTTAAAATTAGTTATCAATATTAATAGGTCTAACTGACCATTCATTCATATGTTTTACCACAAGGTGGCTGCAGTAGGCCTATAGGCTATTTATGATTATTTGACTACTTTATGTAACTTTGCATTTCCAGTACAGTGTTTTGGTGCATTTATTAAATTATACAAATACCGCAGAACGAACATTCTGGTAAGCCAGCCAGTAGTATTTGTGATGAAAGCATCCAAATTTACTAACACACTATTTAATTCTGTTTTCTTCTGAGATTTTTCTTTTTTGGAATTTGAATGCATAGCTTCATATATTTATTCGATTTATAGGCTGCACATTTTTACAGTTGAATACTTCTATGATGAGTTTAGGCATACAATAATAATAGAAAAATGAAAAAAGTTATTCTATTGAAATAATTTGTCAAAGTCGGGGAGCCACTAGAGAGGGGCTAAAGAGCCGTATGTGGCTCAGGAGCTGCAGGTTGCACATCCCTAGACTCACCCTAGAAACCACATTACAACACTCCAGCATTACCAACTGCCCTAGGAACACACATTCAGACATTTAGTTACAATTGCTTTGACAGAGAGCATATTTTTTTTCAGAGACATCATCTTTTTCTAAATATTAGTAATATTTATTACAATTAATATCAATATTGTTATGTCCATCAGCCTCGTGGTGCAAAGAGCCGTCGGGTTGAGGCGCTGTATGACTGCCAAGCCGACCACCACGATGAGCTGAGCTTCTGCGAAGGGCAGGTGCTGGTTGTCCTGGGACAGGAGGACAGTGATTGGTGGGTAAGTATCATCATCCTGCACTCTGATTGGTGCTCTGAAAAAACTATTGCAAAGTGGCCTCCGCTGTCCTCTGAGTAATTGAGCGTAGGCTAGGGGCAATTGAGGTTTAAGAGTCAGTCAGGTAAACATGAACAGTGTTTGTTTCGTTAAATAAAACTGTGACAAACCCTCATGACAAATATGACTTATGCTGAATAAAAATGTATCTTTGAAAACAAAAGCTATGATGAAATATATTAAAAATTTTGTCAAAGAGTAAAAAATAAACAATGTGAAAGACTATAAGCTATAAAGTCTAATTTAGCAACCTTAATAAATTTGCTAAATCACACACTGTAGCAACTTTTTAACTAAAAGTAATTTTCCACTGCCCAAAATTATCTGTTCTTCAGAGCCTTATTTGGCTGTTTCACCTGCTGTATTTCACTGAAGCTGTCTTTGCCAGTAAGGGGGGGCGTGTCCAGAAACCAGTCAGTATCTGGTGGTCCTGGGCTGGTGTGGTTGCACGTGATCTGTGGTTGTGAGGCCGGTTGGATTTAAAAAAAAATGTATTTATCGTTGAAGTTTACAGACACAGTGCACATTGATAAACATTTCTGTAAATGTGCCAGTTTAGCCAGCTTGGCTAATGTTCGACTGTAGTCCCTGGGCAGGTGTTATTGCAACTACATAAAATACACTAAAACAGGAACAACAGTACTTATAGACTACAATTTTAAAAACATAAATCATAAAACAAAGCACTCTTCAGGTGTTTCTGAATAATTCACAGACTGTGGTCATGGCCGTGATTTTAAATTCAATTTAAATTAATTATATGTTTCACAATCTCTAATAACAGTTGGCCGACTATTCCATGTGTGAGCTGCTCTCACTGAAAAAGCTGACTGTCCAAAGGCAGTCCTCCTCATACATTTTACATTTTTTTTTACGTTGTTGTTCAGTGTATCTAAAGATAAGCTAACATTGTCAAGGACTGTGGATGTTACTTTCAGTCAGATGTCTTTCATGTTGCGATCCGTGAGAATTAATGCAGGCTTAATGTTGCTGGCCAATCATCTATATCTTCCTCTATTTGTTCACTAGAGGAGGATTACTGTGTATTAATGTTATCAGATTATTTTAGCTGCTGATGTCAAGGTATACCCACAGTGAACACTGTCTATGGACTATTATCCAGTACAACCAGGTAAACAGTGCTTTTTCCACTAGCCTTTGGATAGACAAGAACCTGTAATCATGGAAACTGTACGTAACAAAGATGGCGACAGCTGTGGTCTCAGAGTGCTTAGAATATATAAAAATGAATAAAAATGTAAAAAGCAACACAAAAATGAGACAAAACTAAAAATCAAGTGACCAACATCTGATTAAAACTAATATATATTTCTGTCAAAGACTAAAATTTAATCAAAATCCAGATTTTCTAAATGTACAGTAAAAACCTGTTTTGTGTGTGTGTGTGTGTGTGTGTACGCGCAGCATGGTTACATAGAGGATGAACCAGACCAGAGAGGTTTGTTTCCATCCTCCTTTGTGCAGCTGCTGTTAGACTGACACCAACCTGGACTGAACCAGACCAGGACTGGTGCATACCTTGGACCAGTACAGATCCAGATCACATCAGTCAACTAGGATCTCAGGAGAATCAAATCAGAACCAAACCAGATCAGTACTGAGCAGCAGAAGCTGAACCACTGATCTGCGATGGACCAGGTCAGACATTCAGGTTTTTGTTCTACTCCACCTCCTGGACTGGACTGATCTGGTCCTGACCAGCTCCAGCATCCTGCAAGTTTACATGACCACGGCCTTCTGTTACCATGGAAAGGTTACAGGTGACCTTTTAGTGAAGAATCTAGACCAGATTTTTGTGGCTTGGGTCATGTGATAAGGTTGCCATGGAGACAGCCTTGCACACACTGATCAACTATGATTCACTGCTGATGCTGACAATACTTTTATTTATTTAAAATTAAAAATATTATTTTATTAAGCTTACAGATGCCTGCAGGTCACTTCAAAATCTGCTGGACTTTTATTTTGAAGTTCAACCTAACAACTTTTTTTCTGCTCTAATTTATTTTTATGTATTTGTAATGTTATTGATCCTGTGGCGACGCCACCACACAAGCGGCTTCTGTCCCATTTCAGGCTCAGTCTCCTTGCAGGGGCAGGGCTCACACGGTCCAACACATAACCAGAGCACAAAGGATTGTAGGATTCTGAAGACCAAAGGATAAATACCAGTTGTCTGCTCTAAATTCAGGTGACATCAGCCTGAAATGGGACACAGCTGATGCTTCCAGCTGCCTTTGATGTCACAAGATATCGCAACGCCTCAGTAAGTACGGCAATGTATTGCTGCCACTATTACAAAAGTAGTTTGCTCAATTTCTCAGTAAAACAAGAACATTTTCAAATTATTGCAAGATACCTTCCATGCAACAATGACATGTAACAAGAGACCATTTACTTAAGTAATGAACTGTGTGCTAATTTGAGGTACTTTTACTAGACTTGAGTATTTCCATCTTATGTAAATTTAAAATTTTTACTCCACTACACCTCAGAGGCAAATATTGTATTTTACAGCTTTAGTTACTCTTCAGATTACAACTTTTCATACTCTTACTGTGTAGTGAAAACCAGAGGTGGAAAGTAACGAATTACAGTTACTCGTGTTACTGTAATTGTGTAGTTTCTTGTGTACTTTTTTAAGTCGTTTTTATGATCTGTAATTTTGCTATTACTTACTTAAGTATTGTACTTCGCTACATTTTAAATCACAGCCGTTACTGAGTAAAAAACAAATCATGTTTGCGCATGGCTCAAAGACAGGACTAACTGTGACTCTTGCTGCGGAGAGTCCCCAGTTAACTAAGTTATGTATACTCTAAGTATTTTTTAAATGAGCTACTTTTTACTTTTACTTGAGTAGATTTTTATACCAGTAGCTTTATTTGTACTTAAGTAAAACTTCATCAGTGTAACAGTACTTACTTAAGTACAATATTTTAGTACTCTTTCCACCTCTGGTGAAAACCACATATCTCCAAATTTGGTGATTTTGAATGTGAATCTTTCTGATAAACTGAAGTATTAAGTGTCCCTTTATGAGGATATTATCCTCCTTCTTATGTTAAATAAACTATAAATAAATAAACCCCCTTGGATTAGGTGGAAATTTTGAAGTAAAGTTTTGAATTGTAGTGGAGTATTTTCAGTATGGTATTGCTACTTTAAGTAAATAATCTGAATACTTGTTCCACTACTGCTTATAACTTTGTCTTAGTATAACACATTTCCTATTATTGACAAAATAGTAGCATATATCATTAAAGCCGAAAATATTTGTTTTAACATACCAACTTCTTAATTTCGTGACGAAAAAGGTCTAATGATAGAACAAGATACAGTGATATGTGGTAATAACAAAAGTTTCTTGTGGTAGGAATAATTTGGTGTCTATTAACATCGAGAAAAAATA